AAGGAAACCGTGGATTTCTCAAAGTAAACCTTTCAAGCCGGGAGAGAGTGGGATGATACATCAAAGTGCTGACAAACAAAGAAACCCAAACTGCCAAGCAAGGAGACTGTCTCTGGCAAAGTTATCCTTTGGAAGTGGAGACGTGAAGGCTTTCCCAGACAAAGAAAGCTGAAGTACTTCATCACCACTAGAAGAAATGCTGATAAGAATTCTTCCAGCTAAAACAAAAGGATGCTAATTAATAACATGAAAACATACAAAAAATAGAATATCCTGGTAAAGGAAACTGTTTAGTGAAATTCAGAATACTCAAATACTGTAATATGGTGGTTAAATATTAACCACTTAATTCTAATGTAAAGGCTATAAAGGTTAAAGTGCCAGAATATTAAAAATAGCTATAGCTCCTATAATTTGTTAATACAAAATATAAGAAAAGGTAAATTGTGACATCAAAACCATAAAAGAGTACAGTTTTTGTGTATAATAGAAGTTGCTGTCAACTTAAAATGTACTGTTTTAGCTACTGTAGAATACCTTGTGTAAACCTCATGGTAACCAAGAAGCAAAAACCTATAGCAGATTCACAAAAGATAAAGAACAAAGCATCAGAGCATTCCACCAGAAAAATAAGACAAAAAGCCCCCCCAAAACAAAAACATGAATTCACAAAGATAGGCAGAAAGAGAGGAAAAGGGGGATGATAGAACTACAGAATAGCCAGAAAGCAATAAGATGGCATTAGTGAGTCTGTGCCTATCAATAATGACTTTAAATGTAAATGAATTGAATTCACCAATCAAAAGGCACAGAATCAATGAATGGATAAATAACAAATAAATAAACAGACTTCAAGCCAAAAATGGTAACAAGAGGCAATATCATTATATGATGATGAAGAGGTCAATTCATCAAGAAGTTGTAGTAATCATAAATATAAATATATATATATATATATATATATATATATATATATATACTCATCAGAGGACCTAGATATATTCAGCAAATACTAACATTTGAAGGCAACAATGCAATAATATTAGGGGGCTTCAATACACCACTTTTAACAATGGATAGATCATACAGACTAAAACTTAATAAGGAAGCACTGCACTTGAAGTACACTTCATACCAATGGACCTAATAGACATGTACAGAACATTCCACCCAAACCCCCGGAATGCACATTCTTCTCAAGTGCACATGGACCATTCCCCAGGATAGATCCTATGGCAGTTCACAAAACAAATCTTGAACATTTAAGAAGATTAATATCATACCAAGTATCTTTTCTGGCCACAGTGGTATATGAATCTAGAAATCAATGGCAAGAGGAAAGATGAATAATTAATAAATATGTGGAAATTAAACAACATGCCTACAAAAAACCAAATGGGTCAAAGAAATGAAATGGAAAATTAAAAAAAAACATTTTGAAACAAAAAATTGAAAAACAGTATACTAAAACCTATGGGATGGAGCAAAAGCAGGTCTAGAAAGGAACTTTATAAGTGAGAAATACCTACATTAAGAGAAAAGATATGAAATAATTAACTTTACATCTTGAGGAACTACACCAAGAAGAATAAATTAAGCCCAAAGCTGGCAGAAGGAAGGAAGGAACAAATCAGAGTAGAAATAAATGAAATAGAGACCAGTAAAACAATAGAAAAGACCAGTGGAACTGAGACCTGAGAAGATGAACAAGAGTGATGGAGATGCCAGCTAATGCTGCTGCGGTGATCCCTTTGCAGTGCACGCGTTTCTGGATGGGGAGGGTGGGAGTGAGAAGGTACAGGATCCCGGATTCCATCAGAGTCGTGTTGCACACCTTAAACTCATACCGTGTTAAATATCAGTTCAACAATGCTCAGTGCTGTGGGGGCAAAAGGAGAATTTTTAAATGCAGTCTTTGCCCCTTAAGGAATCATAGTTTAACTGGGAGAGAAAAAGCATACTTTAAAGAAAAAAAGAACAGAACAGAGTAAGACGAGACTGAGTTTAATTAAGGACCACAGCACTAGATTGAAGGCCTACTAAGTGGACGGTGGTTGGGTCCGAGCTGAGGGCAAGGGAGGGCCTCCTTCTGGTGTCCGTGAATGAGCACAGACACCGGCTCGTTCACAACCAGCAGTCCACGCCCCACCATCCTCCCGCGTGCCGGGAGCCTCCGTGAGGTCTGCGCTCAGACCACACTCGGCATGAACGAAGGTAAGGACAACAGCAGAATCCTCAGAATGCCACCTTAGTCCGTTCAACGTTCTTCTGAACACGCTGGGAAGAAATCTCAGTTACCATGGGAAAGAGCTCCCTGAGCCTTTCTGTTTGGCCTGAGAGCGGTGCACGGAAACAGCCACGGCCGCGAGGCCACTGGCATTTGACTGCACATGGGCGACACGGGTCGGTCTGCCTCTGCGACTCGGAGAGCTTCCCAGCTCCACCTGCACTTGACTCACCCCGTCGGCCTCTGCTGCCCGTGCTGTGGCATGTTTTCCGTTCTGCTAGATCGCCCTCCACTGCTTGAAAACACCACGGGCAGGCACCTCTTGGTGCTAAGGGACCAACATGGCCTAGGATCTCTCCCCAGGTTCTGCACATTTAACACCGGCCTTTGTTAAACTTTTTGAATTCCTCTGGGGCATGAAATAAGATGTTCTCACCAGTATCTGGCTTTCTTGTCCTGGCCGTGCTGTCAGGAGAGAACTAGATAACAAAGCCTATGATTTATTTGGACTGACTCTATTAAAAACTGACAGAGTGATGATTTGATCCCAATAATGCTATGTTCTTACTCTGCTTTGATGATTCGCCTAGTTGTGTCTCTGCTTGAAGTGACTCTTAGGAACGAATTTAAGCTCACTCCAAGCTGTAAGCTCCAAGAGTTTAAAACAGTTCACACCACCTAAAATCTCAGTGGAACTAGCTTTATCACCACCAAATTGTATAGAACTTTCAATGTCTTTCCTGAATTATTTATAACCAGAGGATTGAAAAGTCCAGACAACTTACAAGTTCCCTTTTTGACTTACTTACTTATCCTTCGGGTGTTTCAGAGGGACCTGCGCTGGTGGTACAGTGACGAGTCTGTTGGTTGAATCGTTCTACACTGGTTCACTGGGCGTCTACTCTCTGTCATAGGTTCTACGTGTTGAGGAGAGAACAGCAAGTAAAGCAGAAACCTGCCCTCGCTTAGTTGAGGAAGGTAGAGAAAAAAAAAGGAAATAAAGTAATTAGTTATTTGAGCATGAGAATCGCTCCTGAGAAGGAGAAAACTGAATTGTGACAGGGGATGTAGTTTGGGGGAGACAAGTAGGGAAAGTGTTTAAGTTTTAAATATTGTCTAGAAAGGCCTTGCTGAGAAAATGACGTCAGAGCACAGGTGTGAGTGAAGGGAGGAAGTGAGCCACGTGGGTGAAGGGGGTAGGCGTGCAGGGGCAGCGGGGTGGGCAGGGCCCTGAGGGAGGGTGTCTAGTATGCTCCACACCAGGCTGGTGATAACATCGGCGCATGGACACAGTGTTTCCTACACCCTGGATGCTGCTCTAAAGGCTTTGTATCCATTGTTTAATCCCCTTGTGTCTCCCCAGTTCCCACTTATCGATGAAGAGATTGAGGCACGGGCAGGTTAAACTTGCTCAGGGTGACTGAGTTGGAAAGTGGTAGAACCCAGGCAGTCTGGCTCCAGAATCTGTGTGTTCAGTGACCCCCCCTGCTGCCTGGTGTTTAACCCTTTGGAGATGCGGAGGTCCTTGCTCGTCACGCTGCACTGTGTGCTTTTCAGGAGGGAAACCTTCTTGATCTCACTATTGGTGTTAGTTGTGTTTGCCTGGAGCTGCAGGCTTTTTTCAATCTAATGAACACTGTGACCTCTGCTGATCATGATTTTGTCTTGGCAACCAAATATTTCAAGGTCTTCTCCTGTCTTTTTTTCCCTAACTTCGTGTTGTTATATTTTGTATGTCATAAACTACTATATTATATCCTCGTAGATATAGGGAATGATGAATGAATAGAAATATATTTTAAAAGGAGGCTCGTGGTACTTAGCAGTTCAGAATTGGGAAGCCAGCAGCCCTGGTTCTGGGAAAAGCTGCTCTTCCAGCTCGGCCTTCGCTACTAGAATTCCCATTTGTCCATTTTCACAGCCACGACCCTTCTCCTGTGGCTCACAGTCCTGAATTCCTGTGTAGCTGATGGAAGAGGAGAGAAGCAGGCTTCTCTCTGAACCCCCAGCTCCAACTGCTGCAGTCGGTGTGGCAGTGAGGAGAATGGGCCAGGATCCAGCAGTTCATTCCCCAGCTTCTGCCTGTCTGGGGTCCGGTCCTGTGCCTCTTCACTGTAGAGTGAAGATGGAAAGTGGTGCCTACCTCTTAGTGTTGGGAGGATTAAGTAGGATCATGTTTACATGTACAGTGCATGGCACAGAGCTGACCTCATATAAACACTGTGGAAACTGTAGCTGCTATTATTACAGTTATTCTTATTTAAGGACAACAGACAGAAACCCGCTGCACTTGGTCGAGATCTGACTCTCCATCTTATCCTGTCCAATGCCCTGAGGGACCGCTCTGTGGTACTGATCCCTCGCATCTTGGCTCCCAAATAGACACAGACTATTGGGAAAAATAACAAAATATGAATGGGGAATAAAACAAGCACAACTAGGTTTCAGCTTACTAACTAAAGGTTCGGTCAGCGATACCCTGGGAGAGAGGATGAGAGGGAGAGGAGCTGTGTCACATGTACCTCTGCTTTGGAAGCTGGTCCCCCTCCCCTGAGCCCTTTTTAATTGCTCAGGAGTAGTCTAGGCTTCTCATAAAATTGGCCCCGACTTGTTAGGATCTCTTCAAGTTCTGTAAGAAGAAAATGATCCCGCTAAAGAGGCTTAAGGATTCTAATTAAATATGTTTTCATTAACTGTATTAGATTTTTTTTAAAGGCTTTTCCAGACTGTCCTCGTGTTTGATCATTTTGTTTTATCCAATAGGGATGTTGAACCCTGACCTTCGTGGAGTGGTGTGGTGTCAGGGAGGAGCAGGCACGCTGGGCCGGCTCTGGGCTGTGCAGTGGCCGCTGCAGGGACTTCGGCCCAGGCAGCGGGGTCCTCGTCTGTGAAACGGGGTAGCACCCGCCTCACAAGGCCATCGCCAGGATGAGGTGGCCTGGCTGCGGGGAAGTTCCTGGCAGGTAACAAACTTTCAATGTTGTTCGTCTGATATTTTTGAAACAAAAAAAAATTATTTTACGTTCTATCACATCATTAGGATTGCTTAATTTTTCAGGATTTTAACATCCAGTTTATGGATATCAAAGCCCTTTGCTGCTAAATCTGTCTCTTGCTGGGTTTTACAATTGCTGTGTGACTGCCTATCGGCCTGTCAAAGAAACAGCAGATGATTCAATGTTGATATTGCTGAATGCTTTGGTAAAATGGTTTTATGAAAAAGTTTAAAACTATAGTTAAAATGAAACTTTACTTTTTTAAGTTTATCTGTGGACAGATTTCACAAGTTCATAGTTTTCTTACTTTTAAGGTTTTATCTTTTCTTATGTAATTATCACAAAAATGTGAATATCAGAATAAAATCACTTATAATCTTATTGCCTGGAAATAACCACTATTAATTTTCAATATTTTTCTTTTTTATACATGTAGTTCTTTATAGGATTTTTTTCCACCTAAAAGAATATCACAAGTGCTCTCTCATACCGCTAACATTTAAATTACTTTCATAATGGATATACTCCGATCTGTATATTTATTTTCCTAATTTACACATAAGGGTTTTTCAAAGCATCTCTGCCAGAAATGTTCTTGAATGTCAACCTTTGTGTGTGTTTCTGATTAGTGCTGAGAACAAACTTCCGGAAGTAATCTTGTTGGGTCAACCTCAAGTGTCTACTGCTGTGTAACATGCCCTCTAAACCTAAAACCTGTTGACTTAAAACCACAACAATTGTTCATTTGCTCACAGTTGTGCAATTTGGGAGTAATTTGTTTCTGCTCAGTGTGATGCTAGCTGGCTGGGGTGGCTTTGCTGGGGCCGGAGGGTCCGCTTCCTAGGTGACTCTTTCACATGACTGACACACTGGTGCTGGCTGTCCTCTGGGGCCTGTGCTCTCCACCTGGTGGGCTTCTTCACTGGATGTCAAGATGGAGGAGGTGGGATTGGCCAGTACTCCGAGAGGCTGTGGCCTGGGACTGGCACAGAGGCTCTTCTAGAATGCTCTTTTGGTCAAAGCAGTCACAGGCTAGATTCCAGAGGGAAGAAAGACCACATTCTTTCTGGGGCAAGTGACAATTTGTGGCTAAGAGCACATGGTTGAGGGATGTTAATGCATCATCAAGTCATCTTCCAGAAAGTTGTGCTGATGTGCAATTCCACCAGCAGCTCATGCAAATACCCCTTACCACACTCACCAACACTGAATATTAAAAATGTTAAATATCTACTTACTTAATAAGTAAAATGTGGGATCTCGTTGTTTTACTTTGAATTTATTATTGGGCTCCCAAATATTTGATGAAAATTTATATTTTTCCATTGTGAACTGTCTGCTCATTTTGGGAGGCAACTTTGTATGTAAACAAACATGAAATTATATGAATTGTTTGTTTATTATTGACATGAAGAATGTGTCATATTTGTTGTGAACATTCCTTTTATTTCTCTAATTAAAAACTGATAATCTTTCCCTCCTAATTGAGAAAAGAATTAGACAAACTATTTTCTATTAAATTCACATGTATTGGTCTCAAAATAGTGATATATATTATAATAAAATATTTGGAATTAATGTCAGTTTTACCCAACTAACATGTCAACAGAAAACCTAGAATAATATGATTTATTAATTAGCTACATTTTGGAGGAACCTAACCAAAAAAGAATTTACATACTTTATAGGAATCCAAATGGAGGAGCAAAACTGTGTCATCATCCGTCAATTTTCTCTCTGTCTCTTAGCTGTCGGGTGGACAAGTGCCTTCCCCTGTCTGATTCTCCAGGTTTTGAACTGTAAAATGGGATAATGGCAGGTGTGCCATGAGGCTGGGGGAAGACACGTATGGGGGGCTAGCACAAGCGGGACCTGGTGTGTGGTGGGCGCCATCATCATCTGCCTGTTACATTCTGCCTCATGAATCAAAAAGACCTATGGCAAGAACATCGGAGGAAGTTCTCTGAACGGCTTTCCAGGCCAGGATCTGGGCGTTGTGTCCATTCAGCTCACCTCAGCGTCCATAACTCCCGGGTGGCTGTTTCCTCACCGCGTGTTGCATCATGGTGCAAATCAGGGGCCTTGTGGCAAATGGCACATCACCCTTGTCAGGTCCACAGCCGGAGCAAATGTCCTTGGGATCCTATGGCATATTCCTTGAGAATGACACTTGGGGAGTTTCTCGGGGCAATGTGGTGTTCAGTCTTACCGCTCTGAGACCTCTGTGCTAGCATTATGACTAATAATACCTTTTACTTTTACGGCACATGTACACACAGGACTTCCGTGTGTTTTGCCTCCTTGGATCTTCCCAGCCATCCTGGGAGGTCTGCAGACAAAGTGAGGTTATTTTCCTTTTATGCACGAGAAAGTCAAGGCTGGGGGTGGATGACTTGTCCAAAGTCACAAAGCTAGAAAGTACCAGATCCCATAAGAGATGGCGTCTACAGGTGCCACCCAGAATTCTCCTGTTAGTCCACTGCCTGACTGTCTGGCGAGAACATTGCAGTGGGGCGTCCTTGTGTGAGGAGAAGTACAGGATGGATATTTTCGTTCTGCCTTCTATTAAAATCAGTGGATGGGTGTAGAAGTCACTGTGGACGCTGTGTCATTATCTATGTTTGGATCCTGCCTCCATCTCTCGTTGATTGTGTGCCCCTGATGAAATTATGTAAGCTCTCCGTGCCTCAGTTTCTCCACATGTAAAATGAGAATAATACTGCTACCTAACTCATAGGACTCTTAGGGCTTAAATGAAACCGTCCGTGACAAGCACAACGCCTGGCTTACAAACACCTACTAAAACTCTTCTTCCCTGATGTGATCTGCGAAACTGAAAGCGTACCTCCTTCAACAGGTCTGCACTGCTGGCCTTTCACTGTGCCCTGGGTGTCAGGCACTGGTTTCAGGAAGGCTCTGTTGGGAGGGAGTATCTTCCACGGGAGCGCAGCCATCCACAGTGTGCACAGTGCACAGCTTATCACTGTTTATCAGATTAGCCCAAGGAGATGGAGCACAAGACAGGTGAGTAGTGATTGTTTCTGGGGAAAAAAAATCAGCTATTAACCATAGTTAACATTGTGGTTTATTTCTTGCCTTTCTTATATAACCTTCAAAATATTATAATTTAAAGAGAGGGGATATGCCACCCTAAATACACCACTTTAGCATATTGATTATTTTGAATTAAAGTTACTGAAGAAATGGCCAGTGTGAGAAGGACTCTTTGACACTCCTTTGTTCTGCCTGGGAACAGGAAATAAGTGTACCCTGTGAAGGGTGCCCTCCCTGTACCAGGAGGGTGGGAGGCATCCTTACCACCAGAGGTGGGGAATTTAGGGCCCAGGAAGCCATATAACCAAACTTCGTTGGTTCTTCACTAATTTACTGCCCCATGCCCAAACACCTTGATCTTGTTAGTTCTGCACAGATTCACTGTTTTTGTCAGGCAGGTGTAAAAGCTGCCTGCTTTGGTCACTTCTTTGAGTCTTACATTTTTTTTATGGGGCTCCTTTATACACAAAATTAAATGTGTTTTTCTTCTGTTACTCTGTCTTAGGTCAATTTAATTATTAGGTCAGCCAAGGACCCTAGGAGGGAAGAAGGGGACAGTTTTCGAGCCCTACAGCATCATAACAGGTAAAGACTCTGTGATCTGCCTTCTTCACTTCATGTTTACGTTACCTTCCCATCTCCTTAGTCATCCTGAAATTTGGTTCTGAGTCACACTGGACTCTGTAGGTGGAGGTGCTGTTATTTGCTACCAGTTTGGTATGGGAGAGAGTTTTATTTTTTTTATTATAGTCAGTAAACATCCTTTCACAAAAATCTTTTGAGATCTTTTCTAATTATATCCTTAAAATAAATCCATAGAAGTTGGATGACTAAGTCAAAGGGAATATGCATCTTGAGTCTTGAGAAATATTGCTGGACTGTCCCTATGAAGTTTTTATCAATTTACTTCTCCCACCCACAGTATGTGGATCAGTGATGAACTCATTCGAGACCTTCCACGTTTTCTCCGAGCCAACTTTTCACCCTTCCTTCTGGAGATATTCCTGTACAAAGCCTCCACTTCAGATCTGCCCTCAGTTCCAGCTATATTATTTTTGATTATTACTATTTTTACATTGTTTTGTTCAGTGTTTCATAAACATCCTTCATGATGCTACGTCTAGTCCTTTGCCATGCCCTTCTGGAAGTGTCTTCCTCCTCTCCCTTCACCTCTGAATCATGTCCTTAATTCAAGTCCCAGCCCAACGCAGGCCTTTCCTGATTGTCCAATTTGGCAGACTATCCTCCCTCCCTTGAGGTCCCTCCACCTCCTATTGTCTGTGCCGCTCACTTGTCACTCATCACATGCCAGCTTAGTCTGTGAACTTTTTATGTGTGCCTGGCTGTTTTCTGAAGGACAGGTACAGCATGACATTACACTGAAAGATCCCTCATAACATACCCAAATGTAGCCTTGTGTACGTAACTATGTTGTGATAGATATAATATATGTCATAATGGACAGTGTGAAGCTCTGATGAGGGTCTTTGAGTCTCACACCCAGGTCTGCGGGCTCTCAGTCTGGCTCACTCTCAGCCGGTCCTTGCACTTCTCCTGCCTATTAGGAGCGAGTTTCAGGTTCAGAGCCCTCACCCCGGCCTCAGCATCTTTGCACCTTCTCTTCTCTCCTTCCCATCTAGACGGGTCTCAAGGGCATTATGCTCAGTGAAAAAAGTCAATCTCAAAGGGTTATATACTCTTATATATCTTATGTGATTCCATTTATATAATATTCTCAAAATGACAGAACTGTAGAGATAGAAAACAGATTAGGGCCGTGATGGGGCAGAGACAAGTACCGGGAGGGTGGTGAATATAAGTGGAGAGGACAAGAGGCTCCTGGGGGCTGAGGGAACGGTCCTGTGAATTGACTGTGGCAGTGGCTACATACTCGGCATTGCATATGCATGTATTGCACAGAAACTGCACACAAACAGACACATGAGTGCGTGTAAATATTGGTGACAGCTGAATACAATCTATAGTTTACAGTATTGCAACAATGTAAATGTTCTATTTTGAGATGAAAGGTACTATAAATATTTCAAAATAAAAAGTTTAGACCATCTAAGTAGTGCATAAAAATGCCCACAAAAATCTGTCTGTTATTAGTAATTTCAATAAAGACAACAATGATTTTGAACATAAAAAAGAAAGTGAGATTTCAGGCCTTGCTGCTGGGTGAGATAGAGGGCTCCTCACTGTGCAGGTGCTTCCAGGCAGTGGGGAAGGTAGTTGGGTGAATGGCACAGCACGACAGGGAGGGGAGCACACAAACAGATGTATTATAATCTCTTAGTCAAATAAGTGGAGTATCTCCAAGCCAAGTGCGATAGAAATTGAGAGGAACTGAGAGGACTTTCAAGTGTCCTGAGGGGCTGGGAGAAAGTTTCTTGGAGGAAGTGATTTCTGAAGTGCACCTTGAAGGATGAGTCTGATTCTGAAGGTTCAGAAGAGAGGAAGGAGATTTTTTTTATGTACGTCTTACATTTTTTTGATTAAGGTTTTCTTAATCTAACTTTTACTCTTCTCTCAAACTTACTCTTTCATGCCTTTAGCCTATGAAGCTAGACGTGTTTATATATGGTAAAAATGGACCATGGGGACTGGATTGAAATGTGTCTGTTTTGAAGTTCAAAGAACATTTAGAATCACTTTATAGTTCTTCAAAGAGAATTACTTTGCAAGCAAAGTCCCGGGTTCTATTGCCATTCGCCTGGAGGTACCAAGCTGCAGTCCCAGAGCTAGGAACCCTGCCAAAATGAAAGAGTATTTCTTCACTCTCATGGTTTTTTTATTAGAAAGAACTTGAAAGATGAATTGAAATGGAAAACGATGTACTGCTGACAATAAAGAATATTGCTCCTGGTAGGCGAGGGGCACAGCAAACTGTTTTCAGTTAATGGAGTCTTGATTCTGTAGTTTCTTGCATTTACTTAAATCTGGGCTTTAGCCCAGAGAAGCCAGATTCCAAAGGAAAGCTACGTGCCAGATATAAATAGCGCTGGAGCACAAGCGATTCATTCCATCATTTGTTGCAATGAGGGACTTACATTTTACTTGGCTCTGCTTTTCCTTATTGGCAGGTGTTAACTGTATTATTTACCTAGTGAAGTTTTACTGTATTCTGGCATGCACAAATTCATAGTTTAGGAGAAGCTTGAAAGAGCCCTTTAAACTATATGTTGAGAAAAGATGCTGTTGCAGGGCCAGCCATTAGAGTTCATGTGCAGTTATAGAAAACCCCAGACATTTGGTTGAAAGGATCCCTGGGGACCATCTCATTCAACAGCCTCATGTCACAGGCAAGGAAACAGGGACCAGGAGAAAATGCTTCTTCTTCTCCAGTGAATAAGTGGTTTTCAAGCTGTTCGTTCATTCATTCGTTTCTTTAATGCCTTCTGAGCACCTGTGAGCCAGATATGGTTCTGGGTGTGGGAAGCACAGGGACCTGTTCCCAGGGAGCTTCTGTAAGTATTTGTGTGAAGGAGGGGCTAGGTAATGAACAAGTAAACCAACAGACTGCCAACTTCGTCACAGTGTTAAGTGTTATAAAGAAAAGAAGTCTGAGGTGAGGAACTTTCTGATGGGGTGGGAAAGCTGAGGGAGGGGGGCCTTTTTGAGGGGATGACATTTAAGCTGAGGTCTGAAGGATGAGGAGCCACCTGTTGAAGACACTGGGGGAGATTGTCACAGGTAGACGACGTGTCCAGGCCCTGAGGCGGGAAGGTGACAGGCAGGTTCAAAGAGTGGAAAGCAGACTGTGGGTAGAGAGGGAGATGAGCCCGAGGTCCAGGGCCTGAAGGCCTTGTGGGCCCAAGGGAAGACTTTGAAGAGTTGAAGGATTAAACACAGGAGCTGCAGGCCATGATTTATAATTTTAAAGTACTTTGTTGAGTGTGATGTAGAATGGTAGAAAGACAAGAGCAGAAGCAGGAGACCAGCACTATAGTCAGGCAGGCGAGAAGGTCATGGCCTAGAACATGGTGTTGGCAGAGGGCAGAGAGACAAGCGAATGGATTTAGGATATGTTTTAGGACTCTGGTTGGACTGGATTCATGTGTAAGGACAAATGGGAGGAATCAGGAGGGGGTTTTTTGGCTAGGGCACTCGGGTAGGACCATTTCCTAAAACGGGGAAGTCTGGAGAGGAGCAGGCTGTGGAGAGTGCCGGTGGGATGAGGAATCACTTATCTGAAAATAAAAAATAGCTATCAAGATTGGGACAAACAGGAGCAGATCTGAGCAGTAAATGAAGGCCTCACCGACAAGTTAACATCCGAAGGGCACAAAGAGCCAGCTGAGAAAACGTTCCGGATGGAGGGAACCACACGTGTGCAAAAGCACAGGGAGGAAATGGCCAATCGGAGGTGAGCCAGAGAAGCTGCCGGGGCTGCAGGGCAGGGAGCGAGGTAATTAAAAAGAGTGGTTTCTATTTTTCATGTTGCTCAGAGACAAGTTTAACACTACAACTTAGAAAAAAGAAATACTGCTCTTTCTCCATTTATAACTGACCTGATTTTCCTCACAGCTGATGTCCCAAATAGGAGCTGAGACTGAAAGCAGAGACAAAAGTGTAAACCTGTCAGTTTATGGTATACTCATTGTTTTCAGACGACTCCACTGCATTTGCAAGGTGGCGGGGACCTTGCAAAGGTGAGGTCCACACACAGTTGTCTTCAGCCCTCCATGACAGGAGGAGCCAAAGCTCCTGTCTTTGTCTAGTTAGTCAATAGGGTTGAGGGTACTTTGCTGGCTGTCTCTGGAGGACTCCTGGTCTGTTCTCTGGGCTAGTTGGCCTGGAAATCTTTCCTGCAGACTCGCCCCTACTTCTGTTCACTGTGATGCCATAGTTCCTTCTCCTTGAGGTCTGAGGGCTCCTGTGACTCCCAGTTTAAGGTACTTCACAGTCACCCCCTCATTGCTCTGTGGCATCTTGGCCAGTGGCAACATCAGCTTCTTCTCACATCCTTCACGATGCAGGCCGGAACCTCTAGATACCTTCTGTGCCACGTGAGAGCTGAGGAATGCTCTGGGTCACTAAGTGCTCACACCACATAACTGGGATGTGCTGTCGTTTTTACTTTGTTGCAGGCATTCATTGTTGTCACAGATGACCTATGTAGAGACATCTTCCCTGGGCTGTAAACAGGAAGTGGTAGCAGTTTCTCTACTCTCAGCTTTCTTCTTAACCTTTGTCTGACAGCAGCCCCTCTGATCTTGTGGTCTGGAAGGTGTGTAGCCCATAACACATATGTCCGACAGCTCGCTTTCCTTATGTCTCTTCTCTTCCTAGCAAATTCTCTGAGCTGGAAGGGGTTGTGTCCTTCTTCCTCCTTATATGGTTTTAAAATGTATTTGCAAATATTTTAATACTCTTTCCATCAGAAGGTGGAGTGTATGTCACTCCCCTTGAATTTGTAACTTCCTTCATGAAAAGAATGTGACAGAAGCGAGGCAGCATGACGTAAAACTGGATTAGCAAAGGCTATATGCTGCTTTCTCTGGGGACTAGCTCTGGGGGCCTATAGCCATCATGGGAGAAGCCTGGCTACCCTGAGGCCACCAGGGTAGACGCGTGTTGGG